ATAATTATAGCTTTAATTTGAACCTGTAGTTTCCTGTAGCAGTTAAAAGAGAAGTCAAAATTGTTAAATGACTGGCACTCTAAAAGAGAATGCAGCCAGGCCTGGTGATGCATGCCTGTAATCCCAACACTTGGGAGGCTGAGGCAGGAGGATTGCCACAAGTTCAAGGCCAGCTTAAGCTACATAGTGAGTTCAAGGCCAGCCTGGACTACATAGTGAGACCCTGTCTCAAAGAAACAAAGAAAATAAATAAAAGAGCGTGCAGATTGAAAATTTATATGTAGACAATTGAGATTTTTTTTTTTGAAGTTCAAATCGATGATTAGGGTCATTCTATTAAGATGATTTAGCCTAATTGATTTAAACGTTCAGAATTATGGAAAAAAGGGAAGAGAGATTATTTCAGATTAAAGGAGATATAACCATACAGCTATTAAAATACATGATTTTTGGCTAAATTCTAGTTTGAGGAAAAACTAGTGATAAACATTTTGAGACAGTTGAATAAATTTACATATGGACTTATTATTTGAGCAATAATATTGTGCTTAGTTGCAGTAATACAGGTTGAATATTCCTTATCTGAAATGCTTGGGACTAGAAGTGTTTTAGATTTCAGAGTTTTTGGATTTTTGGAATATGTACCTAGAATTTACTGGTTAAGCATCCCTAATTTTAAGAAAATCATAAATGCTCCAAAATATGAAACTTTGAACATCCTATCAGTGCTCCAAAAGTTTCAGGCTTCAGAATAGTTTAGATTTTCAAGTTAGGGATGCTCAGTCTGCAGCATTTGATAATGTAGGAGAATCTCATTGTTTGGGAGTCTACACTCACATATTATAGGAGCAAAGTTTCATGGTTTCTAATTATTTTTTTACATAGGTTAGCAAATATGTATATGAAGTATGGCAAAAGATTGGCCACTATGGAATCTAGATGGTGAGTTTTTAGGTGTAAGTTTTTCATAATCATGCAAGCGATGATGCTTACAAAGAGGTCATCTTCATAAGAGAAGTACCAAGCAACACAGGAGGTCCTCTTGAGCCTGCCTTGCTGTTTGGAAGAAGGCATTGATAGAGATGAGCCATGTAGGTAGTGTTCACCTGCTGGGCTGTCTTAATGCCTTACTGGGCCACATGTAGGCATTTCCTCAGGCTCCCTGTGTGTGGTCTCACTGTGACCATGGGAGAGGGGCTCCACCATTAGGCACCATGCCACACAGTCCCCTTGGCAGCCATGGGGAATCTCAGGTCACTTTGGTTATGAGTCCACTGGAAAACAAGGGAGGCTGGACTGATTTGCACTAAAAACTCCATCTTGGACATTTGCTTTCAGTCCCTTGGGACTGTGAACTATAACAACTCAAATAAATGAGCAGTCCCTTAAAATGCTTTACTCGTTAGAGCATGGGACTACTTAAAACTATTCTGCATGACTTGCTAATCCAAGGTGGGATCTGTACAACTCATGTTTGATTTGGGATTGTTGTAATTATTGCCTTCCTATTAATAACGTCTCTAAATTCCTAATAAAGCCATTTTGGAGCAGTTATTTTAAGCAGAGTAGGAAATAATATAATAGCAGAACTCTTGGTTGCCCTTTCTTGCTTTCATAATCATTAATGATCTTAAAGATCACCCCTCCTTTTTTTTCCCCCTGAGAGAATTAGTTTTTGGTGAACAACTAGGTGAGCCAGAAGGTTAATGTGGTAACAGGACATCATTTCAGCCTTCAGTGAGGGTTTGAAGATTGTGTGTGGAAGGATAGAGAGATGCAGCAGCTCTTTACAGAATACAGAATGCAGTAAGAGGTTCAGAAACTGGAAACTTTGGGGGTTGCTTAGAGGCCAGGGGAGAAGATGGCCTTGCTGGTACTAGATCACATGAAATTTAACAATTTAGAAATGTAAGTTATTTCCAGAAATATATACACTGAGAGAATCCTGGTGTGAAAATGCTTCCATTACAAAGCCATCCCTTCTCTAACCCCAGTGTCTTCCTGAGTCCATAGGTAGTCTTCTCAGATTGAGGAGGACCACAGTAGTCAGCAAGAACAGGCTTAGTGCAATGTGATTTGCAAATGCCTTCTAATTCCAGAATACTGTTGCCAGATAGTTTTCAAATAAAAAGACTATCACTTTATGATTTTCTTTATTTATTTATTTTCCCCTAGTCTCTAACAGACTGATGTTTTCTGCATTTAGAACACAGGATTGGCAGGCTAGGAGCTAGTGCCTACATAGGGAAAGCAGAAGGGCTCCTGGATTCTTTGCCAAATTGCTGTTTACCTTTAGAGACCAGTAGAACTTTGCTCTAGCCCAGGCTATGTACAAAAGTCTCAGTGGCCTGTTGAACCCTGTAAAGTCTATTTCATTAACAGCAAAGGTAAGAATGCGGGCTTCCCCCCCCCCATTTAGTTTATTGGTACATTTTAGGTATGCAATACAGTTACATTCATCATTGGGAACTTGTACCTTTACATGATGTATCTTGGTTCTTATTTTTATCCCCATTCCCCTGCCCTCCCTTCACCCCCTCCACCCTTCCCTATTTACAAAGACTGTTTCCATGTTTTTCCTTTCTCATATTTTTTCTTTTCCCTTCTTTCCTTTCCCCTTCCCCTCTCACTTCCCCTACTCCTTTAGACCTTTTCTTCCTATTTCAATTATCAATTATATATTTCGATCCTTATTTACACTTTTAGTTTCTCTGGTGTAAAAAGAATGCAGTCTTTATCACTGCCAGTTATCTGTGGATAAATGAACTACATCTCCATAAAGCATTTCAGTTCTGTGTGTTTCAGCAGCAATAATTTTCTGTTTATATATCTATTTTAGTTTGTCATAAGAACTGAGATAGTACCTTTGGTGTTTAATCTCTCTTCAAGTTCCTCTTTAAACAATCAAGTTTCCTATGACCAGTGGAATTTGAATTAAGCAGGTGCAAATCTTTTTTTACATGTTAAACTTGCCCTTTTGCTTCTAGGTGCCATTAGGCCAAGTTATTCACTGAAAGCACTAATAACAAGATGCCAGTTTAGGAAAGATTCCTTTAACATAATCTTATCTTATAGAGGATCCAGATGTAGGGGGCTAGGTTTTAATAAACTCAGTTCTCCTAGTAACTTTAGCAATAAATCACTTGATATCTGTCTTTGCACCTCTCTCTTTCAATAGAAAAAGGAGTCATTTGGGAATTGTTCATTAGGTAATTGCACTTTTTTGTTCCGTTTTTTGGAAGACTCACAATTACATGAAAAATAATTTCTAAATTTTGCTATGTCTGTAAGTTCCAAATTACTAAGGATTCTTCTCTTACACACCCCTCCCCACCCAACAGTAGGACACATAAACAGATGTAAAAGGAACTTCCATTCTCTCAGTGACCTAAGCAATGAAATATTTGTTGAAAAGCACTCAGAGTAATACCAATGGTGTGCCTCTTTTGCTTAACATTCTGAGCAGGAGAAAGCCACATGACTGAAATGCAATCCATTTTCAAGTGTGTTGAGAAAAAATATATTTCATCTCAGTTAATCTGGAGATTATCCTTTCATAGATGTCACTGTTATTTCACAATCTGCATGACTAAAGCAGTTGTGCTGTCACGGCCACAGCTTGTTTAGACAGAATATTGAGTGTGTGCCCTGATGTTCAGGGTCTCTAAAGGGGCATCAGAAGGACACTGAAAGTACAAGTGGAAGTTTCTTTAATTGTATTCTAAGGACACAATTTGGTAACAGTCGTCATCATGGACTTTGTGTGGTTAGGACTTGGATTTCCCTAGAGATGGTCTAATGGTCTTCAAGATCACCTCTCCCAACTCTTAGCCCTTCCAGTTTCATGGGTACAATACTGTCTCAGAGGCTTAGCCAGTTCCTGATGTCTCAGCACCTAGGGACCCTCCCCCTCTCTGCTGAAGCTTTTACTTCTGGTTCTTGGTACTTGGATATGTTAACTAGGAACACTTTTACTTGATCTCTCTGGGGGCAGGGGAAGCTGGAAAAGAGAAAAAGAGAGGAACAAATTAGGCTGGTACTGTGAATTATCTGAAGTTCTCTCCTACCACCCTATAAGATCAGTGGCATTCCCTCTGTTTTTCACAGCTGAGATTTTCTCTCTTGGACAGACCTCTTTAACATTATGTTTGTGGGACTTATTGTTATTACTGCCTGTAGTTACAGAACATATGTATTATAGAGGCAATGCAATACTTCACTATGTGTATATCCCCATTTTTAAACATTTCTATTGTTGGTTAATCTTTATATCAATTCTAGTTCGAGTATATTGTGAAGAATGCTATTATGAACACTTTAGTTCAGCTTTATAGCCGCAGGTAGGTTTTCAGAGTGGCTGTAGCAATTTGTACTCCTATCACCAGCACAGGGAATTCCAGTTGTCTCACACACTTGCCAACAGTTATTGCTCCCTTCTGGTGGATGGGGGACTTTTTTTTTCCTTCTGCTGTGTTTCTTTTTGTCTCGTTAAAAGACTGGCTGTACTTGAATTAGGGAATTAGGAGTAACTTATTTACAGGTAAAATATTCTCATTTGTGCTAATAAATAATGAATATCAGAAGGTGGCCAAGATCTGTGCATTAGTTCACACTAAGTTAATTGTTCCACCAGAGAGCCCAAATTTCAGATACATTAGACCTCCCTCATTTGTTGCACTTTACAGATGATGTGACTGAGGCTCTTCAGGGACTAGAGACTGTACCAGGTGTTATGCCCAAGGTCCTGGAAGAGCCAGCATAGTAATGTTCATCCTTTCCCCTCAGGTGCAGCTCTTTGTTGATTCTTTTATTCTTTCATTTATTAAGTAATTACTGTTAAATAATTATTGAATACATATCTCTCACAAGCAGAAGGACCTGAGTTCAATCACCGGTACCAAAAAAAAAAAAAGAGTACTAACATATTTAATGGCAGGCTCCAAGCTGGGCCCCTTGGACTCAGTGACAAATAAGCTTATAATGTTCCTTTCATTTTACAGGTTATGGGTATCAGATCACAGCCTATTTCCTCAAGAGGGGGATACACCTTCGCTGCATTGGGAGCTTACAGAATACTAGTAAGAACCTGGTTCTTTGACTGTCCAGCATTTCACACAATCCGCTGACCCTAGAGAAGGGATGAAGATTAAGAAATAGAAATTCCTGTTTGTTTCATTGTGTTCCTGTCACTATTTCCAAACATTTGTGATTTTTTTCTCCTAACTTACACTGTTACTGCCTATCTATCTGAGGACAGTGAGGGAAGCAGGCTGAACTCTGAATCACTGTCAGTGCACTCCAAGGCCCTAGGATATGGAGCAGGTATGCACAAGAGAAAGTACTTTCCCAGCCCAGAGCCACCAGAGACTTCCATAGGTGGGCCACTTCCCACCCCACATTTCCCCAAGTCAAGATGTCAAATGAAAGATGATGTCAAACCTGTGGAGCCAACAACAATAAAGTCAGAAGCTAATGCCTGTTCTCTAAGTAATCTGAGTATTGGAAAGAAAATTTAGCTCATTTTCCTTAGGGTCAGTGTGTGTTTAAGACATGAAACAGGGACTTTAAAAATTAACTATATAGAGCTTTGCTTGTGAACGCTTCATGATTATCTGTGCTTCCTTAGCCCCAAATGTTGCTTAAATACATTACCTCTTTGGAGCCTTTACTTTGTTCACTTCTTGTAAAATAAGCCAGCTATCTTTGTATCTGTTAAAATACCTTTTAGCTACCATTCCTGGTAGGGGCTGCCATCAGCTAAATCTTTAAATATTAAAATAATACAACTCTTAATTATGACCAAGACAGAAGTAGCTTTCTGTTAATACAATATTTGGCATCAAAATGTTCAGTCTGTCATCCTTGCTTTTCAGAGAAAACAATGGAAATACAAACTGGAGGGATTATTTGATGAAATTGGTAATTTTGAATTCCAACTTTTATTCACTAATGAACTGTTTATATTTCAGTTTTCTGATTACGGGGTGGAGATGATAAATTCTGTGGCTCATTTTCACTTTCCATAAAGTAGGAAACAGACCACTTACCACATATCTCTATAATATACTTTAGGAACTTTTGAACAATATTAGCTGCTTTGATAGGTTTGTTCTGGCTTTTCAAAGGCCATCTGTAGTCACCAAGCCAGATGTAACATCCGGGGCTGGTCAGAGTTTAGACCCAGACCTCCACCTGAAAATGAAGGCTTTCTGAATAAGGAGGATGAGTTGGCATAAGATCCGACCGGCAGGTTGGGCCCTGGTCTTGGAGGCTGGGGAGCCATGATAGGCTTTTGAGCAGGATGTGTGCTGCTGCTTTTTAGGACTGTCAAGTTGCATGCTGAATTGGATGGATTAGAATAGAGAGAATGACCCCTGAAGAGACAGCAGTAAGTCCAGGGATCTGGAGAGAGCTGTTACTGGAACATCTTTAGGCCTTTTGGTGTAATTTTAAGTAGCCGTATGGTGTAAGGAGTTAACTGTGTTTAAATTGTCCACATAACTCCCACCTTATGCTTGGCTTTCCAGTGTACCAAATTGAGACACATTGTCTACTCAGGACCCTTGTGTGCAGGGTCTGTAAAACGATTCATTTACCTAATTCATAATACCTGTCTCTTTTAAAAATTGATTATATGTAAAGGGAAGTTTTCTCTTTTAGAAAACACAAATAGGGTACGTGTCTGTTATGAAGATATTCAACCAATGCACCAAGTATTAAGAAAGGAGGAGAGGCCCCTCCCCACCCACTCCTAACCATTTTTGTTAGCATCCACTAAACCGCACTCAGGACGTCACCCCAGGGCTGGGTGGGGGCTGACAGATGATGGATGAATGGAAGAACTGATGGGATGTGATCTGAGGGAAGATCCAGATGGTGCTGCTGCTGTTTTGCGTTCCCTTTGTTGACTGTTGAGTCCCATTCTGTGATACATTAGCCTTTCCCACCTGGAAGACAGTGGTTTTGCTTTTAAGAGGCTGCAATAATAGATCATTACTGACTATGGTAGCTAGCTATCGCCTCTATATTGCATATTTAACTATTTCCTTAGTCTGATCACTAATTCCTAAGAGAAGCTGCTGTTTTCAAAGCCAGTTCTAGCTTGGGAGTGTTCCCTGTAGTGTAGAGGACCTCACTAAAACCACCCATCCAGGGAGATGATAATAAAACAACTACAAGGGCCAGAGATTTAGCTCAGTGGTTCCACTGCCTGCCTCACAAGCGCAAGGTCCTGAGTTCGATCCTCAGTACCAAAATAAATAAATAAAACAACTAGAGAAAGACTGGTGGGTCACATTTTTACATTTTTATCTAACACTCTTCCTGTTTATAAATCTGCACTCATTAGAAAACACTGATACTATTTCCCAAATACAAGTTCTAAAGGGAAAACTGCAAACTGACACAAAGCGAGCTGTGGAGGCCTTGCCAGAGTTCCACGTGCTGTAATGATCCTGGGGTGCAGGTGGACCTATTTACAGCCTCCTTGCTCTCCCTGGGGCCTTGTACTCACACTCCCCTATTGATGGCAAACATTGGAAGGAGAAAAGGAGAGAGGGAAAAGAGACACGTGTCTCATATCTGCATGCATACTGCACAATGTAAAATGAACAAAGAAATCTGGGAATAAACATTTCTGTGTTCATGATTCTTTTGATTCCTTCATGCTAACGTGATTTTCTTCATTTTATACAGAACTCCGCGTATTTCCTGACCGATTTGTGGTCCTTGTTAGTCAGCTTGCAGTCATTCCTGACATCTTGTCAAATCAGAAAGAATTGGTACGTATGAAAAAATTCTCTCAACAAACCAATGTGCTTAAATGCTGAGATACTGTAAAAAAAAAATAAGGGAAAGAACTGTCTGCTGCTGTCATTTAGCTGTTGAGTATTCAGTGCGTATTTTAAGGGCTCAAAATATCTTACCTATTTTGTGTGCTAATATTGATTAATTGATGCATTGAGGGGTTTTTTCCCGGGTTTTTTACCCCCAGAGACCTCTTTTTTTTTTTTTTTTGGTACTGGGGATTGAACTCAGGTCCTTTGTGCTTATGAGGCAGGTGGCAGAACCACTGAGCTAAATCCCTGGCCCAGAGACCTCTTGAATATTTAGTTTGATAGCAGTATCTTTTCACTCTCAGTTTTAAATGAGAAAGCAACACATCACAAAAACCATGATGGTGCTTACAGTAGTATTAAAATGACATAAAGCAGAATCCACATGTTTCCACTGGAAGTTTTCATTAGGGTCAGTGGCTTTAGGATTTTATTCCATGATGAATCATTTTCATGAGAACCAATACTTCTCCCCAGTGTATTATTTCATAGCTGATAGGGTTCATACACACACACACACACACACACACACACACTCACTAAGCTGCATCAGGGCCTGTTTCTTTGTCATTGGAATTCTCTATTTAGGAAAAGCAAAAACCTTATTCAGAGTTTAGGAAAAGCAAAAATCTTATTCAGAGCAGTGTAGCTCATAGCTTTGCCTTTTAAGTATAACATGCACTGTTGGCGGTCTCCTTGTTTTGTGTATGTGTGTCTTGCTGCAGTTATAGTCCAAACTGCCTACCTCTGCAAAAACTTTTTAATGTTTTTGCACATAAGACTTGAAACTTTGACAAACTGATAAATATTAGCAAATATTCACCCAGCCATGAAGTATGACGTGATTATTATGCTTGTAAAATCATTTATGGCAATATTAGATTATCTCTAATGTTTATTGTTTTTTAATTCATATGAAATTTGAAGTTTGGCCCATAGTCTAAAACAAGCTTATCTCATCTTAAATAAATATATAAGAATATTTGTGTTTGAAAGATGGTAAGAGGGAATAAAGACCCAGCAAAAATTAAAAGCAAAAAAACTCATATTTACATTTAGGTTGGTTCATTTTGAGCAGAGAACTTCTTCAGAAAAGCCACTGTGATCCATATATTTCCTCTTCTCTACTATTAAAAATGCTACATATGCACACCAAATGAAACAAATGTAGTAAAGTTACCAAAAAGTATTAAGAGCTTATCCTTTAAACTATTTCCAAGATTCAGAGTTACTGTTAAGTTAATAAATACTGAAGCAGTAATGCTGTTGGCATATAATTTAATATATAATATAATTTTACTGATTTTAGAGCAAGGAAGAAATTGATTTGTGGTTTAAGAAAATAACAATTAACTATACCGGAAAGTAATACTGCATTCAGAGGGAATACAGGAGAAATTAGATCTCATATGTGATATGTAATATTAATACTTAGTATCTTAAATTATTAAGGGAGAGTTAAAACATCTCAATACAAATGAAATGTTATCCTCCTTAGGGGCCCTGGTATTTATACAGATGTAAGTTTTTCATAGCTGCTGTTATATAAATCCTGCAATCTGGAGGAATTCCTAAATGTTGAAAATTTTCATTCTGAAAAGTTAAACAGTTTGAGCCTTTTACATGACAGAGTTCAGTATCCTTATCTTAAAAATGTCCTGATTTTTAAAAATAACATGATCAGAGTTAACCATATTAGTTTGTAAGAAGAATGCCATTTAGATCATGAAATTTGTTGTGGGGGGTTCTTTTTGGTCGTTGTTAGTCTGTATCTTCAATTGCTCATTTTGCCCAACTCTGGCTTCCCCTCCACCTACACACTTTCCCAGCAACACACGAGTCAACCAAACAGTCCACAGTGTTCAGCTAATCACCAAAGGTAAGGTCCCTTCACCCTCCCGCCTCACCTGCTCACATGAACACCCCTTCATCACTCACCACTTCCTCAAGCTCCTTGTCACTGGTAGCTACAAAATACCCAGGTCAAGTAAGGGCCCTTTCCACAAATTGCCCATCAAGCCAGCTACACTATCCTCCCACCAGAAGTGTCTTGGAGCTTAATCTTCATTGATATTCGACCTCTGTAGAGCCTGCCTGGCTTGGCTATTTAAGGATCAATAAACAATCCTTCCTCCCAGAACTGCCTTCTGCCCAGAGAAGGCATTCCTATTCCTTCTGATGTACTTCAAATGCCCAGAGCCCATGATCTCAGGCTCCCCTGAGTATTCCTTGAACTTCCTTCAAGCCTTTAATTCTTTTGTCAGTTTATATTGATATTCCACAGAGGGCAGGTTCCATTCCACTCTCTTGGTAGTAATTCTCAGGGAACTTCTGAGCGGGCAAGGCCTGGGAACTTGGCTCCCCAAGTAGCTGTATTGGCAGCGAACTTTAGTTTTGTTCCTATAATTGTTTATTGTACTCACTCTTGTATGCCCCAGAAGTGAGCTAGTACCTGAGCAGGTATTTTTACTGTAGCCCCAAGGGGGACAGATTCCTTTTCCATCATCCTTTCCCCCTCAGTCGGACCATCAAGTGTGTTTTTCTGGGTTTTTTTTGTATCAGGGATCGAACTCAGGTCCTTGTGCTTGCCAGGCAGTCCCAGTGCCACTGAGCTAAATCCCCGGCCTCATCAGTGCCTTCTTCTGTGACAATTTGTCAGGAAACCTGGAGCATCTCTTCCAAACTGCACTGCTGAGGGATTCTTCCAGTCTGCAGACAGGGAAGCAGCTGCACATCCACCCCATTTCTTAAAAGTGAATGCAAAAAAGAACTGCTGTCCCAAATCAGGCCATATAAAGTCCCCCTCCCTGACAGGGCAGAGTAGAGCCACACTGTGCTCATCCAGGCCACACCCAGGAGGTCTGTTTCCCACTGTCCATGTTCCTCTCTTCACTTAGGGACATTGATTCAGGGAGATCCTCCATGTTGCAATAGCTCTGCACTGAGTGCCCATGTGCTAGGGATGTGGGAATTGTGATGTGTACTTTGGGAAGAAAGGGCATTATTATGAAATGACTCACTGTATTTTTCTTACTAGAGTTTCTCATAAGAAATCTTGAAACTTTTGTAGCCTCAGTTTTTGACCTATTGCTCGATGTAGAGCTAGGGAGTCTTTTTGAGAGTTTTTACGTTCAGTTTTTTCTTTGGTCTCCTTCACCCTTTTTTTCCTAACAAATAAGAACATAAATTAAATTTGTACTGTACTCAGTTCCATGTTCCATTTTGACAGTATTTTCTTTCTTATGAACTGAAATGTATGTGAGACCTCTTTCTCAGATGTATAGTCCTGAAGCTTTCAGGAAATATAAAATTAATTTATTTTCATTATTTCTTTATTAAAGTTGTATAAATAGCTACAGAACTCCTTGTATATCTGTAGGGCATTTCAGGGCCAGTGTGAAGCTCCTATCTCATTGTGTTTTGGTTCCAGCCACCCCTGTTCTCTGGAGATCACCCTTCCCATCTGCTCTGCAATCACATTTAACATAATTTGCTGAGTGCTGCTCCCCACACGGAAACCTCCTAGGCCATGAGGAAACAAAGAACAATGAGAAACTGCTTTTGTCCTCAAAGAGCTTAGGGTCTGGCAGATCAAAACTGCTGAAGGGTGACCTAAAAATACAGCTCAACTGAAACCTTCATTTTTCCCTAAAGCAGTCTCCTTCTTGCACCTGTACCCTTACTGTTCAATCAAATCCTTTCTGCCATTCCCAAAGAAAGGCCAAAATTCTAGACCTACTTTCTTAATTTTGTACCTATGCTGTCAAAGGCAGTGATCTTTTTGGAAATGGAGGTATGACATGTAGCACTAGAGCTGCAGCTAAGTGTAGATGTACACATGAAGAGGTTTGGGTTCTCTGCTTATGCTGCATTTGAGTCATGGCTTGGCAGTGGTCCTGCTGGGTAACCATCCACACAGGCCAGGTCCTTGCTGTAGCACCTACTAAGTAGGATGATTACTGGGAGACTTCCTAACAAGAGGTAACATGTAAGCCCTAAATTGACCACTTCCCTAAGTCAGGCTGCTATTTAACATTTTAAAATCTAGTTAATGAATATAAGATTGAAGTGAAAATTAGTCTCGAGCAATAGACTCCCAGAGGCTGGGTTATTTTTAGCTTGGCTGTTGTATTCTTCAGCTGTGTGTGATCTAGCCAATGTAGACCTTAGTCCTCTTCAATCAAGGGGGGAAAGTATCACATTATCTTGGAAATCCTTTCTGACACAGTTTCTATCAGGAAGCAGATGAAACAGTAGCTAAATATAAACTATAAAATGATTTGTACAGATGAGAGCTTTACTGTTACATTTAAAAATTGTAATAAAAATATTTAGGGGAGAGTTTTATATTAGGAAAGTTAAGTAGAAGTTAAAAGGAAAGATTTTAGGCCTTATCTTATGTTTTTAGAACAGAAGAAATAAACTACTTAATAATTTGTGTACTGACTTACATACCTTGATGACAGAATTCTTTCACTTTTATAGATGAATTTTTGCTTAAGTGTAAATGAGTTCATTCGAAAGAGAATCCTTCACTTTCATACTAAAACATTTAAAGAAGTACTGGATGACTTTTCTAGTTTTTTCATAGACTTTCGTAGTCTATGAAATATACTACTTCATGATATATCGTAAACTTTAAAAATCTATTCTCCTTTCTTACTGTATTTCCTAAACAGTGTTAGTGGTGAATTAAGCCATTAAGAAGAGACTCCTGCAGCACCAGGAAAAGTTCCCTGAGTGGGAAAAGGCTATTTCCATATTTTACATTTTCCATAATATTCTGAACTTAGTTCTTAATAACTGATTACCAAAATTGTACATATCCATTGTATAAAAAAATTTAAATTCAAATATACACAGTGGAAAAAAATGATCTACAGCTCCCAGCCCAGAGATAACCTCTGTAACTGATCTAATCTATACCTCTCCATACTTCATACTTA